ACAAATTTTTTCTAACTAAAGATAAGTTTGAAAGTAGAATCAAAAAAGAATTGTGAAAGTTAAGTGTAATAATATGTTACATAAACATAAAAGTGTTAATATTAGTGTGATGCTTTTAATGTTGAAAAGGATCTGAAATAATAGAAATATTCATACTATATTTCTTGGATTATGCATTCATAAACCAACTTTGTTCAAGAATATGGCATTATGCATTCAATGTGAACACGCATATCCTAAGACCCATTAATTGTACTTCTCCTTTTTATACTAGAGAATTTTTTGTACATGTGTCACAGATATACTTGCAAAATATGCATGTTAGTTCTGTTATTAATAGCTGAAATTGAGGTGTCATGTAAATGGTCAAATTGAGAAATCATAATTGCTCATTGGTTATAAAATGGATAAGTAAATCATGGCATACGGACACAATAGAAAATGAACAAATTCAACCTATAACTTTCTTAGCTCCTTATTGGAGAAAAAATACAGACATAGAAAGGCAAAATACATATTTAGTGTAGTACTTGGTATGTTTACACATATGTAGTGCAACTTCTGTAATAAAATGATTCAGATTAATGACAATAGCTGGACATGTAATAAGCAGAGAAGGAAAGTTTGCTTACTAATGATGCTATTAAAATATGAAATAAAGTTTATATGCTGTATTTTATATAGAGGTTATATGCATTTCATATGATAATTCTATATAAACAAAATTCTTTTTGTTTGAATAACAGTGCCTTAATTATATGATGCAGTAAAAAGTAGCAAATACATTATCATAAATATTTTGTTTGTAACTTACTCTTAATAAAGTTTTAGGTGATATTGTTCTTTCAAATTAGACCTGATGTTGAGAATTAGGTATCATAAGCCACGGAATAGATCTGTAATGTCCTTTCATTACAATGAATTCTGTCTCTTAGAAAACTGGATAAAGTTACAATGTTCAGAGATCTCCCATTTAACTGCCTTCATCATCATCATCATCATCATCATCATCATCATCTTGTTCTTATTTAGTGATTTATATTTAAAATGTTTACACACATAATTTGGGCAATGTGTAAATCATTTCTTAATGCTCATTGTATCTAAATTATGTTAGTAATTAGCAAAGTTAAAATCAAGTGAAAAGCTTTAAAAATGGAATGTTCTTTCATTTTAAATGTATTGCTTGAGCAAATTATTCATGGATGATCTTAAAAATCATGGAATTAAGCTACTGAGACCCATTTCTAACATTAGAAATAAAATAAATTCAAAATTACTCCTAAAAAATAACTCATGGAATAGGATTGTGTCTCTTTGATTGATGTATTTATATTTTGGTTATTTGTATATATTTGTGTGTGTGTGTGTGTGTGTGTGTGTATACACACACACACACACACACACACATATATATATATGTGTGTGTTGATGAAGTCTTTATTGTACTGAAGGTTTATGTTACTGACCATAAACTACATAGGAGACAGTCTCTTCACACAGAATAATGACAACTTTTCTCTTTTAGAAGTAAACAACAAAAACAAACAAACAAACAAAACAATGCAAGTTTAAAAATGATGGCAACACACAAAAGTGGCTGATAGTTTTGGTCTTTCTCAGAGGGATACAATTTGTATAGTTTAACAAAGTCTGGCCTTGAATCTTAATTTCAAAAGCACACTTCTTTCCTGCCTTACTGGTGCCAATCAGAAGGTAGAATCCACATCACCAACTTAAAAAGAATATAGCTGAATGAAGAAAGTACTGATTTAGGAAACAAAATCATTATCAAAGAATTTGAAATCACAAAAACTTTAAAAATTCAGAACTTTGAAATTTCCCTTCTGAGATATTAATGCCTTAGTACATACTTGCTAGTAAAACAGATGCATTCTATCATTGCAAGTTGTACTTATAAATATGCTGCTTGGTAATGGAAAATAGATGTTATGTCTTAACACAAAATGGCAGCCATTACTTCTGGTAAATATTTTTGGTGAGATGCACTCTTTGGTGAGATGCAAAATGACATTGAGAAGCCACCTTATTTTGTGTCTTTCCTGCCTCCTGATATTCTCAGAATCTTCAAGTAATTTGCAGAGGAGAAACCACAAGACCAGAATGAATGAGTGAAGACCATCTATGTTTAGCCCATGGACCATCAGACCTGCTCTAGGCCAATCAGCTTGCATTGCTGCATCAGCTGTTACACATGGAACTTCCCTTGGAGTTTCTATTGCTCTAACAAGTAATGGCCAGAAATTATTTCTACCTGACAAGCTAGGTCAAGATCCATTTTTCTTCTCAGAAAGTTTTCTACTAGCCCAAATAGCTGCTTTCTGTGGCTTGGCATTGGGCAGGAGTTGCTGAAGGGGCCTATCCCTGCCTTGACTTTTCCAAACAAGTCTGTGCCCCCAGGTGTTCACTTAGACATGTCCTGGCTTAAGGACACTACAGAGGCATGTGTTTTCTCAAGGGTGCTTACCCTGCTGATTATATCTAATAGTTAGTTGTAGTTCAAGCTGTTGTTACAATAAAAGCCTAAGAAGGCAGACAATGGAGGATGCTTATTTCCTAAAGCCAAATAGCCCCTTAGCCTTCTCCTTCACAAAAAAACTTGAGTCAGAGTAATCTGTTCATCCATCAATCAGGGTCTGCTGTTCAGTCCCAGCAGCTTTTCCTGAAATTTGGAGAAACATTTTTTTTCAATAGCTTAAAATATCCCGTGTCTTCATTATCACCAATGAATCTTAGTAATAAAGACATATACCCGAAATCGGTTTGGCTTAGTGGATAGAGTGTCGGCCGGCGGACTGAAAGGTCCCAGGTTCGATTCTGGTCAAGAGCATGTACCTTAGGTGCGGGCACATCCCCAGTAGGCGGTGTGCAAGAGGCAGCTGATCGATGTCTCTCTCTCATCGATGTTTCTAGCTCTCTATCCCTCTTTTTTCCTCCCTGTAAAAAATCAATAAAACATATATTTTTTTAAAAAGACATATGAAGTTCAGGTGATATCTGAAAAACTGATTCTAAGGCTTTCTTAGATCTTTTGCTTCAAGGGACTGGTTGTAGGAAAGCAGGTTGAGGTACTTCTATAATAATTTCTTTATAAACTCATGCATTTGCTCTTTACCTCTTTTTTCTGGATGGATTATTAATTTGGACACTATGTCTTGTAAATGTCAGTCCAATCTTATGTTATAGAGAGTTTGTGTCTCATGAACTACTGTGTTGCATTTTGAATATCTGTTGCTATAGTAAAAACGTCTTACAATGCAGCTTTTACAACATCTATGAAGATATTCTCTAATAGTAGTTGCATCTATTTCTATTAAGTAACCTCTGGAAATGGAACACAAGACGAATGAGGTCAGCTCAGAAGGATTAATCTGCTCTTAAGTGTTTGTCCTTATCCTTTGATTAGAGGCCAGGTGCAGGAAATTCGTACATGGAAGGGGGGGTGGGGGGGAAGGTGTCCCTTAGCCCAGCCTGAACTGTATCCAATTTGGGAGCCTTTGAGTGATGCCTGACTACCCATTTAGGCATTATCCCATTAAATAGACAGTCAGACATCCCTCTCACAATCCAGGACAACTGACTCCAACCACTCACCTGCCAACTTGCCTGATTGCCCTTAACTGCTTCTGCCTACCAGACTGATTACCTGGCTAACCACTCCCCTGCCAGTCTGATCAATGCTGAACTGTTCCTCTGTAGGCCCGAATGCCCCTAACTGCTCTCCCTTGCCAGTCTGGTCACCCCTAACTGCCCTTCCCTGCCAGCCTGGTTGCCCCTAACTGCCCTCCCTTGCTGGCCTGGTCACCTCTAACTACCCTCCCTTGCCACCTTCATTGCCTCAAACTGCCCTCCCCTGCAGGCTTGGTCCCACCCCAACTGTTCTCCCCTGCAGACCTGGAAACTCACCTACAGCTTTCCACTGCAGGCCTGCTTCCCCTTCAACAGCCTTCCCTTGCAGGCCTGGTGACTCCCAAAAGCCCATCCCTGGAGGCCCGGTCACCTCTAACTGTCCTCCCCTTCATGCCTGGTTGTCCACAGCTCCTTTCCCTCCAGGCCTGGTCACCCCCAAAAGTTCTCCCTTGCTAGCCTGGTAACCCCTAATTGCCTTCCCAGCCAGCCTGGTCACCCCTAACTGCTCTCATGTGTAGGCCTGGCCCTTCCCAACAGCCCTACCTTCAGGCCTTGTACCTCTCTAAACTGCCCTTCCCTGCAGACCAAGTTCCCCCCACTGCCCTCCCTTGCAGGCATGGTCCCCCCTAACTACCCTCCACTGTAGGTATTATCCCTCCCAACTGTCCTCCCCTGAAGTCCTTGTCACCCTCAACTGCCCTCCCTTGCAGGCCTGGCTCCTCTCAACTCTCTTCACCTGCTGGCCCCTACGCTCTGCCTTGCAGACCTGATCCCTCCCAACTGCCCTACTCTGTTGGTCATCTTATGGTGGCCATCTTGTGTCCACATGGGGTGGCAATCTTTGACCAAATGGGGGCAGAAAACTTGTGTAGATGTGATGGTCAATTTTCCTATTACCTCTTCTTTATATAGGCCAGCTTTCACTGTATATTAAAAGTATTGGGCTTTTACATTTTCCTAAAGACACAGTTGATGAATACAAATTATGGAGAGCTTAAACAAAGAAAATTGCAAATCAATGAAAGAGAATATGTCTACATTTGCATGCTGGCAAATGAAAATTCAGCTTTTACAACAGCATCAGTTATGATATATTCCAGCCTACAGCAAGGACGTTATTTGAATAGGAGTTAATTTGAACGGTTTGGGTAATAAGAATGTTTTCATAAAGAAAACATCAAACTCTTGCATTAGCATTCCTTGTTGCTTTCTTCTTGGCATTGGTCATAGAATTTAAAAGAAAGAAGAATTTTATACACATTCAAGATCAGCTGCAAATAGAACTTACGGCCAGAATAGTAAAGGATTCACAACCAATAATATTAGACTCGGCTTTTTATTTTTTAGACATGATAAATTTATTACCGAGCATTCTTTCCATCCTCATAATAGTGCAATGTGTTCTAGGAAGTTCTGCCAATGGCTTCATAGCGCTGGTGAACTGCATTGACTGGGTCAAGAAACACAAGATCTCCTGTGCTGATGGAATTCTCACTGCTCTGGCTGTCTCCAGAATTACTTCACTCGCGATAATAGTATTCAATTGGTATGGGTCTGTGCTGCATCCACCCATCTATAATTCAGAAGTAAAAGCTATTATTCATATTACCTGGGTAGTAAGCAACCATTTTAGTCTATGGCTTGCTTGTAGCCTCAGCATACTTTATTTGCTCAAGATAGCCAATTTCTCCAGCCTTTTATTTCTTCACCTAAAATGGAGAGCCAAAAGAGTGGTTCTCATGATATTCTGGGGCACTTTGGTCTTCTTGATTTTTCATCTTGCAGTGGCAAGCACAAATGCAAAAATGGAGATGAATGTATATAAAGGAAACATCACTTGGGAGAGCAAATTGAGTGACATTGCATACCTTTCAAATGTGATCATAATCATTCTTGCAAACTTCATACCCTTTACTATGTCGCTGACAGCTGTTCTGCTGTTGGTCTTTTCCCTGTGGAAACATCTCAAGAGGATGCAGCTCAGTGGCAAAGGATCCCAAGATCCCAGCACTGAGGTCCACATAAGAGCCATGCAAACTGTGATTTCCTTTCTCTTGTTGTTTGTCATTTCCTTCTTCGCTCAAATCATCTCAGTTTGGAATTCAAGTACTCAGCAGAACAATTCACTTACCTTGGTTTGCAAGGTTCTTAGAGCCCTGTATCCATCAAGCCACTCATTTATCCTGATTTGGGGGAATAAGAAGCTGAGACAAGCCTTTCTGTCATTTCTGAGGCAGGTGAGGTGCTGGCTGAAGGAAAGGAAATCAACGGGGAACCTTGTGTCTTCTGTAAGAAAATAAACTGGTGAAATTTGCTGGTGAAGTTTTCAATGTTTTGTACTTCCTACTTCACTTCTTAATGTGCATGGAATTAGGTCAGGTATACCTAGAAAAGCTTGTAGTGAAGTTTATCGCAAAAATATATATGTGTGCATGTTTATAAAAAATACAAGAAAAATTATAAGATTGCCATATTATAGTTTTCAGGTAAACAATCTAATTTTATAAAATATTGTAAGAAATTGCTCAGAATTATAAATTTATGAATACTTCACATACATATTCTATGTTATCATCTTGCAAACAAAGAATTTATGCTCTATATTTATGCAATTTTTAGGACTGATAACTCATCTCAGGGAATTACTGACATTTTCCACTATAATTAGTACCACACATATGTACCACAGTGAGTTCAAATTTTCTTGTTTGAACCTCTAATCTTTGGGATGGCAAGGGTATTCAATTCTAAATCACACTCTGAGGATACATGCTTGAAATAGATATTGTTACATCATGAATTCTTACTTCTTGGCTAATAGAAAACAATCAGAACTCTTAGGAAAAGATTGTAATGAAATTAAAAAAATGTCAAACACATTTAGAATGTATTTCATATTCATGTACAATAAATAGTACTAAAGATTATGAGATTTAATACAATAGGTAAAAGATTAGAAAATAAACAAGTACTACAATTGTAATAAAGAAGAAAGCAAAATAATCATGATGTTTTTACTGATGCTATTGGTTTTAAATTGAGAAGACATTTTCTAATTCAAAAACTTATATCAATTAATTTAGTTTACATATTCACCATGTTTGGGCCTCTGAATTTGGAATCATCTGGTCCATCTTTCTATTTAAGATTCCTTTTAAACTTCAGAGAAAACATTTAATTTTTACCTATCTTAACTATATGCTCAGAATAAGTGTAGTATATAATTATGATACATAAGTCAATGATCTTTCTGAACACATGGAAACTGATATCTATGACATCTATGTAACATTATAAAAAAAAGTCTTGAGATCTGTTTGTATTATAATCTTATAGGAAATAGTGAAATAGACAGTGTGTTGAAATATATTTGGTTTTGAGTTCTATCATAAGAAAGAAATGTATAACCTTGTTCAACAACTGGGGTGGTGTGGCTTGTCCTGGGAAGTGGAAGTGACTGGGGGGGGCAGTCAAACTGGGAAAAAGGAAACATGTAATACTTTAAACAATAAAGAAAAAAAGATTTTTTTTAAGAAGAAAGAAAAGTATAACCTTGTTCAACAACTAAAATGGTAGTATTATGATATTTTAACAGTAATATCTATACCTTATATATATTTCACTCATCTGATTTATTCCTTTGTTACTTTATCACATGTCTGCTTAGTATTGTAGAATATAAGAACTATAATTTGGGATGATGTGTTTCCTGTTTCCTGCTAAGTCTCCAGGACATAAAACCCAGCCCATGGCATAACTGGAGAAAATGATATTCTAAATATTAAATAATTACATGAATAAGCCACATTAGATCTAGAAAACCAATAAAATCAAAATCCATCACAAAATCAGTAGGTGGCATAGATTTCCTGCCTTAGACTGGGAGAATGAACAGAAGTCACCAATAGGCTCTAAAACATAAAGCGACTCATATATAATCTAAATTCCCTATTGTTTTTTACACAGTCCTAATGTGTTCAAGGTGTCCCTTCTATACAGTTATCCATGGAACAAGGCTGATCACAAGTATGTCATCTCAGACATGTGCCTTCCACAATTGGCTTCAATCATGGCTATTGCAGACAGCAGGGCATGTGTGGGAGATGCTTTGGGTGTGGGCCTATAAATGGTGCACTTAATTTTCATTCACAAAACATGGATCCACATCACTGACATTGCCATACCATCTGTAAGGGAGTCTGAAAAACATAGTCACTCTATTGCCCAGAAAGGAGACTTTCTGTTTAGGACATGGATATTGGAGGGCACTTAGAAACCTCAGAAGCTTTTCAGTTGAAAAGCCAATTAGATATTGTAAAAGAAAGTTACTCCGCTAAGAAGGGTGCCATATTTGTTCATGTCACAGATAATTTGGCATGCCTTTACATTAGTCTTGAATTTATTTCTGCATTTCTTCATAAATTCTAAATAATTCAAGTTCCCACTAAATATTCCTGACTTCACAAAACTATAATTAATTTTGCAATGTAGCATTTGTAGCTGCCTTGTGTATATCCCTGCAATACATTGCTTATAAGTTCTGATTTAACTTCTATACTATTTCCCCATGATTATGTTTAGTTATTTGTTCTAGGATTTGGGTGTGGTCTTTGAACTAGAAATAATTGCAATAAGTTATTTATGTAAATTAAATTACATCAACAAAAATACTAGATATGTACAAGGATCTTATTGATAAGTAGCAAATCATAACTGAATTATATAAAACCTTTCCCCCTAGCAATTACTATTCAAAATTTAAAATATTTGCATTTAGATGTATGTTCCAAGGAGATAGAAATACAAATTGGTGGAAAATAATCTCTCTCAGATTTGCAACTTTACATATTTTACTTTCTTAATTTAGTCAGTGGCACAAAGGAAAATTTACAGCTGGTGTCAAGATAAGTGGAGAACATTTATGTTTATACTAGAGGCCAGGTGCATGCAAATTCATTCATTGGAGAGGGGTCCCTCAGCCCTGCCTCCCCTCTCTCAGTCTGGGAGTCCTCAGAGGCTGTAGGTGACCTGGTGATCAGGTGAAGGCGATGCCCCGTACATCACTGTTGCTGCCACTGCTGGCAGCACAAGCTTCAGGCAGCTTTAGTTACCTGAGCGTGGTATGGCCCTGGGTGGCTGGGCAGCTGCCATCGGAGACTTGCAAGTGCCTCAGGCTGGCCCTGGGCAGCTGGGGGCTCAGGATACTGGGGGACTCTGAAAGAAGATGCACAGCAAAGCTTAGGGGTCTGGGTCCTGCCATCTTGTGGCTGTGGGTACTGCTATCTTTGAGAGAGGGGTACTCAATTAGCATATTCCCACATTATTGGCTTTGGGCACCACAATCTTTGTGATGGTGTGAGAATCAATTACCATATTCCTCTATCTTAGATAGGATAGTAGCTGACTGTAAGCAATACTATAGGCATGCCTGAAATGCATGTGTCTTTACAGCACTGTTCAGTTTAGCACTTGAATTACAATTCAAACAAAATGAATTATTCTTTTGTGAAGGTCTCTGGAACTACATCTCAAGGCAGAATTTTGGTTGTTCTTTCTGGAATTATGATGGAAATGTTTATGGAAAGCATTGTAAATGGATGTCCATCTGCAACTGTTTCACTATAAAGCTTTCATTGAGGCACAACATTAGAAACATTCTTATAGCAATGTCATTTGAAATGAAGGCCACCTTTCTGGTTGTGTCAACAGGAATGCTCATCTTAGGAGTGCTGGGAAATGGGTTCATCGGACTGGTGAACTGCATGGAATGGCTCAGGACTGGGAAAGTTTCCTCAGCAGATTTCATCCTCACCAGCTTGGCTCTGGCCAGAATCATTCAACTGTTGGTGATACTCTTGGATTCATTTATAATGGGGATAGCTCCACATCTTTACGGTACTGGTAAACTAGCAAACATGTTTACTGTCCTTTAGGCACTAACTAATCACCTAACTATGTGGTTTGCCACCTGCCTCAGCATTTTCTACTTCCTTAAGATAGCTAATTTCTCCCACTCCCTTTTCACATGGCTGAAGTGGAGAGTCAACAGAGTGCTTCTTCTGCTTTTCCTGGGGTCTTTCTTCCTCCTGTCTCTTAACCTCTTAATGAATGATGCTTTTACTGAATTGTGGTTGGATTCCTACAGAGCACATGAAACAAATATGACTTTACAGTTTGAAGAAAATGAAATACTCTTTCTGAAAAGTCTTCTTCTTAGTTTGACCTATAGTATCCCCTTTTTCCTGTCCCTGATCTCTTTGCTCCTTTTATTTCTGTCCTTGGTGAGACACACCAAGAATTTTCAGCTCAACCTGACTGGCTCGGGGGACTCAAGCACAGAGGCCCATAGAAGGGCCATGAAGATGGTGACAATGTTCCTCCTCCTCTTCATCATTTACATTATTTCTTTTCTAACAGAAAGTTGGATCTTCACTAAAGTACAGTCATATGAAGTTAGGTGTTTGTCACAGTAATTTCAACTGCCTTTCCCTCAGGCCACTCTTTTCTTATAATCTTTGGAAATAGCAAGCCAAGACAGATTGTCTTGAGGCCACTGAGGAAAATTCTCTGAGAAAGGCAAAACTTTTACCTTTATAGACAGGATTTGAAATAACCTTGTGCATTCTATGGGAAAATACCTTAATAGAAAATGTTCAGCATTTCTTTATATCAGGCTTTGTTAAACAGTACTAAAATTTCCCTACAACATGACTTTAGTAATTATATTTTCTTAAAGTGGTATGATATTATATTTGACCAGAGGACATGTCTTCAGTTTTTAGTAAGAGTAGAGTACTTGAGACCAGAAATATAGTTATAAAAGTTTACAATGAAATAATTGATAAATGTATAAACAATATACAATACTATATGAGTAAATGTATATAGAATTATAATCACCGAAAGGGAAAAAGTAACACAAATTTTTCAAACTAAAGATAAGTTTGAAAGTAGAATCGAAAAAGAATTTTAAAGGTTAAGTGTAATAATATGTTATATAAACATAAAAGTGTTAATATTAGTGTGATGCTTTTACTGTTGGAAAGGACCTGAAATAATAGGAATTTTTTTACTATATATCTTGGATTATGTACTGGTAAAACAACTCTGTTCAAGAGTATGGCATTATGCGTTTAATGTGAAGATGCTTGTCCTAAGCCCCTTAATTGTACTTCTCCTTTTTATACTAGAGAAGTTTTCATTCATGTGTAACAGAATAAATACACAAAAATGTGCATGTTACTACTGTTCTTTTTTTATTATTATTGATTATGGTATCACATAATTGTCCTCATCCCCC